GCAGGGAGCGTTGACTAGTGATGCAGGGAGCGTTGATTAGTGATGCAGGGAGCGTCAGTTAGTGATGCAGGGAGCGTTGGTTAGTGATGCAGGGAGCGTTGGTTAGTGATGCAGGGAGCGTTGGTTAGTGATGCAGGGAGCGTTGACTAGTGATGCAGGGAGCGTTGGTTAGTGATGCAGGGAGCGTTGACTAGTGATGCAGGGAGCGTTGGTTAGTGATGCAGGGAGCGTTGACTAGTGATGCAGGGAGCGTTGGTTAGTGATGCAGGGAGCGTTGACTAGTGATGCAGGGAGCGTTGGTTAGTGATGCAGGGAGCGTTGGTTAGTGATGCAGGGAGCGTTGACTAGTGATGCAGGGAGCGTTGGTTAGTGATGCAGGGAGCGTTGGTTAGTGATGCAGGGAGCGTTGACTAGTGATGCAGGGAGCGTTGGTTAGTGATGCAGGGAGCGTTGACTAGTGATGCAGGGAGCGTTGGTTAGTGATGCAGGGAGCGTTGACTAGTGATGCAGGGAGCGTTGGTTAGTGATGCAGGGAGCGTTGACTAGTGATGCAGGGAGCGTTGATTAGTGATGCAGGGAGCGTCAGTTAGTGATGCAGGGAGCGTTGGTTAGTGATGCAGGGAGCGTTGGTTAGTGATGCAGGGAGCGTTGGTTAGTGATGCAGGGAGCGTTGACTAGTGATGCAGGGAGCGTTGGTTAGTGATGCAGGGAGCGTTGACTAGTGATGCAGGGAGCGTTGGTTAGTGATGCAGGGAGCGTTGGTTAGTGATGCAGGGAGCGTTGGTTAGTGATGCAGGGAGCGTTGGTTAGTGATGCAGGGAGCGTTGGTTAGTGATGCAGGGACCGTCAGTTAGTGATGCAGGGAGCGTCAGTTAGTGATGCAGGGAGCGTCGGTTAGTGATGCAGGGAGCGTTGGTTAGTGATGCAGGGAGCGTTGGTTAGTGATGCAGGGAGCGTTGACTAGTGATGCAGGGAGGGACTCTTGAACGACATGTTCACCCTGACCTCTGGCAGCACGCCAAGTAGGGTTCTACCCCAGGCCAAATGGGCTACCAGACGTACGACGTGTCACTTTGAAATCGGTAAAAAAGGATTAGCGCATTTCCTATAATAATACTTTAGAAATGTTGTTTTCCAAGTGAATTTGGAACCATGGATTGGATGTTAACAATCCAATCGTCAGAATATAGAATGTTGAATTAATAGTAAATTCTCATGGCCTATCAGATATCCTAGGTACTGTTGAAGTCGAATCTAACCAATCACACGGGGCTCAATTTTAAATACAGCCAATCAGAGTGCAGCAGGTTCGATCTCAGTCAATAGAGGTGAAGTATTGGAAGGTGAGGCGGGCGCTCGGGTGTGTAGGAGCCGTCAGTCCAGCATGTGCCATGGCAGGCGTAGCATGTAGCTGTCGTGGTTCTTACATGAGGTCCTATAGTTAGTGATAAAGCCGATAGTGATGGAGATGGCAGGTCCACCAGCTAGTGATGAGGGTGTTAAAGAGATGTCCACCCTCTCTCATGTCTGTTGTCACCCTTAACTCCTCTCATCTCACCCTGTCTCCTATCTCATCTCCTTCACTCCCTCCCACTTTCCTTCTCATTTGGCATTCATGGTATGTGTAAAAGATGCGTAAGGTGAGGCTGTGGCTCGCAGCGACTACACCTCACCTGTGACGTCTTCTCATACACCACATCTTTTGTCTTATCACCCAGTAATACACAATTTACATCCATATATCGACTTGACAATCCTCATAGGAATATATTACACCTACTTTGTATTATATATATATATATATATATATATATATATATATATATATATATATATATATATATATATATATATATATATATATATATATATATATATATATATAGTATATTTTGGTAGCAGTCTTTCCTGTAGACATATATTATTAAATATGACCGAAAAAGTAAGATTAATAATTCTAACACGAATTTTCTCGATCTTTCATACGTTTCTTTTCACTGTTGGTGGTAATTCAAAAATCAATTCTCCTAGAAATAGGAGAATTCAATAGACTAAATAAAAATAATAAAATAAAATAAAATCAATAGACTAGAAATAAAAATGAATTTTGGAGAATTGATTTTTGAATTACCACCAACAGTGAAAAGAAACGTACGAAAGATCGAGAAAATTCGTGTTAGAATTATTAATCTTACTTTTTCGGTCATATTTAATAATATATATATATATATATATATATATATATATATATATATATATATATATATATATATATATATATATATATATATATATATATATATATATATATATATATATATATATATATATATATATATATATATATATATATATATATATATATATATATATATATATATATATATATATATATATAAAATATGTATAAAGTTATAGCGCTCGGGCAAGTGTGGAGGAAGGAACGCCCTGTTCTGACACCATCTTGTCCGGGTTTAAAATAGATGATGTGATTCCATGTGATTTGTGTTCTTCTTGGCACTCTTTCAAAGATGTGTATGATGTCTGATGTTAGAACTATTTGTGTTAACTTGCAACTGCTTTATTACCTCCTTTGTGACGTGGAGCGATCTCCGATGTTTTAAATATGTCGGGGATAACGCCAGTATCTGGGCTCCGTCTCCGAAAGATGTTTAGGGTCTGTGATAGTGGTGTTTTGCACTTCTCGGTGAATATAGAATTCCAAGAGTCTGGGCCTGGTGCATAGTGCACGGGTATGCTGTCTATGGCTACTTCAGAGTAATGTGGAGTTAGGATGACATCAGATATATATATGGGTTCGAAGTTGGTGTCACATTCATAAAGAATTCATTTGCATCATTGATCTGCAATGAGATAAGGGGTTCACTGAAAACAGAATCATTCTGTGCCATCACTCATTTCAATATTTCATTCATTTCTCTGCTATCATCTGTGAAAGTTCCTTCACTCTTACGCAGGCGCCCAATGCTGGCTGTACTTTTTGTACTAGTTTTTGAATAGGAGGAAAAAGTCTTTTAGGTCGTCTCACTTATGGCCTTGTACTCTCCTTGCCTCTCCCGGATTTTACATGATTCATGCATCTTGAGTGCGATCATTTCCATTTCTCCACATAGCCTTCCTTGTCGTTCTTCGCATGGAGCTTTTGAGATGTTCTGCTGTTTGTTTTCTTCGCCTATAGAGGGGACGCCGTTCTCCTTCCAGTTTGCATATATTCATCTTGTTTCCTTAGTGGTATGTGACTCAAAATATTTCTAGCGCTACTGGGCCTATTTCTAGCGCTACTGGGCCTATTTCTAGCGCTACTATGCCTATTTCCAGCGCTACCGTGCCTATTTCCAGCGCTACCGTGCCTATTTCTAGTGCTACTGTGCCTATTTCCAGCGCTACTGTGCCTATTTTCAGCGCTACTGTGCCTATTTCTAGCGCTACTGTGCCTATTTCTAGCGTTACTGCTCCTATTTCTAGCACTACTGTGCCTATTTTCTGGAGGCAATAGTTTGAGTTTGCGTCATCTAGCTGATCTTCTCAACACATTTCTGGGAGGCCTTAGTTTATTCCTTCACCGTTAATAAGTTTATTAACATTGAATTTGCTTCCTCCTCTTGGATTGGCTGCACAGGTCTGCTGCCCGGCCTGGGCTTCCTCATTGTCAATACAATAAAAATAAATAAAAAACAAAAACTTGGTGTACCTGGAGCTGCCTCAGCTCCCACAGCTTACTGTACCTAGAGCTGCCTCAGCTCCCACAGCTTACTGTACCTGGAGCTGTCTCAGCTCCCACAGCTTACTGTACCTGGAGCTGTCTCAGCTCCCACAGCTTACTGTACCTAGAGCTGTCTCAGCTCCCACAGCTTACTGTACCTGGAGCTGCCTCAGCTCCCACAGCTTACTGTACCTGGAGCTGTCTCAGCTCCCACAGCTTACTGTACCTGGAGCTGTCTCAGCTCCCACAGCTTACTGTACCTGGAGCTGCCTCAGCTGCCACAGCTTACTGTACCTGGAGCTGCCTCAGCTGCCACAGCTTACTGTACCTGGAGCTGCCTCAGCTGCCACAGCTTACTGTACCTGGAGCTGCCTCAGCAACCAGCCACCCTCCACCAATTACTGTAGCCTAAGCCCCCCAGGGTCCGTGCTGGGGGTGGCCAGCTGCTCCCCAGTCACGACAAGAGCCGTGATAAAACATCTTCCTCCCACCAGGGATGTTGACCCCAGACACTTAACCAAATTACCAGTTCTTCAGCTCCTGTGGTCTGCTGGTTCCTGGCCCAGACCGTCTGCTGGTTCCTTACCCTCCATTGTCTGCTGGCACCACCACCACAACCGCTGACAGCAGACACCAGCACTTCAGATCAACACAAGGCAATTTTCTGATTTTTATTTAAAATTACTAAAAAACTAATTTGCTCGCATAAATCGTTAGGTAAATTGAGTGAGAGTTGGCACTACCTGTAATGAATTAATCCTCACATGACTACGCAATTTGAGATCGGTTAACGAGGATACCCTCCTAGTTATACCTATACCTTGATATAAGTGCTATACAGATCTAGAATTGTATCATATTTTACATTACAACTCTCTCTCTTTCTCTCTCTCTCTCTCTCTCTGTCTCTGTCTCTCTCTCTGTCTCTCTCCTTCCTAAGTGCTTAGAGGAAGAGGTCGTAGGAGGAGGAGGAGGAGGAGGCGGCAAGGGTAATGGCCAAGGAGAGACTTCTAGTATTCTCTTTGTCGCGGTTAAGCCCTTGATCTCCCCATCACACTTATGCATACATGCTCAAAATTCCCCTTGATGGTATATGAGTTTAAGGCAATGTTTCCTGCGCTGCTGCTCCTTCTTTTTTTCTCTCCGGGCAAAGAGGAGTACTTTCAATATCCTTCAAGATCAAAGTTATATAGATTGAATGAAAATGGAGGAAGGATGCTGTATTTATTTTGATCTCTTCTGACGTGTTTTTCTTTCTCCTTAACTGCCGACTTGTTCAGTTTTTTGTGTCTTGTGAGTCCATCTTGGTGAGGCTGGGTTGTGAGTTCATCTTGGTGAGGCTGGGTTGTGAGTCCATCTTGGTGGGGCTGGGTTGTGAGTCCATCTTGGTGAAGCTGGGTTGTGAGTCCATCTTGGTGGGGCTGGGTTGTGAGTCCATCTTGGTGGGGCTGGGTTGTGAGTCCATCTTGGTGGGGCTGGGTTGTGAGTCCATCTTGGTGAAGCTGGGTTGTGAGTCCATCTTGGTGGGGCTGGGTTGTGAGTCCATCTTGGTGGGGTTGGGTTGTGAGTTCATCTTGGTGGGGCTGGGTTGTGAGTCCATCTTGGTGGGGCTGGGTTGTGAGTTCATCTTGGTGGGGCTGGGTTGTGAGTTATCTTGGTGAGGCTGGGTTGTGAGTTCATCTTGATGCTGAATGTGTTGAGATGTCATCATGGTGATGCTGAATGCCTTTGAAGATGGAGTAATCAAAAAGATTATAAACTCGTTCAAACAGAGACAGACATATGTGAAAATAAGTTGTAATCACTTACACCTTAATGGTGTATTGAGAGTGAATGCTGTGTACTGATGGTGAGGTGAATGTAAGGTAAATAACAGGAGAAAACGCCAAGCCATTACGACTATAGGGATGTGAGGATAAAGATTTGGGATAGGACGCAGGAAAGGAATGGTGCCCTTGGACGGTCGGGGATTGAGCGCGGTGAAGTGAGAGTGAGGGAGGGATGGGGAAGGCAGCGTGAGGGATGGTGGGGAAGGCAGCGGGCGGCAGCGTGAGAGGCATATGAAGACGTTAAGTGTCTTGGGGAGAAAGTGATTTTGGCAGTAAGTGTGTTGGAGAGTGAGTGGCTGAGCTTGTTGTGGCCCCTGATGGTGTGGTGGTGTGTGGTGGTGGTGGTGGTGGTGTGTGGTGGTGTGTGGTGGTGGTGGTGGTGGTGGTGTGTGGTGGTGGTGGTGTGTGATGGTGTCTGGTGGGGGTGTGTGGTAGGGGGTGTGTGGTGGTGGTGGTGGTGGTGGTGGCAGGGTGTGGTGGTGGTGGCAGGGTGTGGTGGTGGTGGTGGTGGCAGGGTGTGTGGTGGTGGTGGTGGTGGTGGTGACAGTGTGTGGTGGTGGGGGTGGTGACAGGGTGTAACGGGGGGTGGGGGAAATAGCTCCCCATTATCCATTATCCCACCACTAGTTAACTACTCTAGAATTCCCCCAGACTTCCTACTGCAACCTCTCTAGTTCAACACCTTGTAATCTAGGTATCTGACTACCAAGGTGCTACGTCCACAAGGCATTGTACCTGATCGGCCTCCCGCCACTCTAGAGAATATTTCACTGCCACAAACGTATAATACAACCGAAAGGAAAGATATGGATAATGAAGTAAAGAGTGAGTGTTCGGGTGAGAGAGGTAGAGGAGGGAGTAGGTGGGAGGAGTAAGTAGAGTCGTCAGGTGAAAGGGAAAGGGGGAGAGAGGCGGAGGGAGAGGAGAGGGAGTAGGAAGTGAGTAGGAGGTAGAAGGGTAGAAAAGTAGAAAGTAAAAGTAGAAGTGCTGCCACCATCCATTCTAGTCAGTACATACAAGACAAGGAATGGAACTTGTCTCTATCAAAAGATGTTATTAGCATGTGTCAACTGGAGTCATGTTCCATGGAAGATTCTCTAAGTCCTCCTGGGTGTAGGGGTTGCTGAAGACGCCTCCTGGGTGTAGGGGTTGCTGAGGACGTCTCCTGGGTGTATGGGTTGCTGAGGACGCCTCCTGGGTGTAGGGGTTGCTGAGGACGTCTCCTGGGTGTAGGGGTTGCTGAGGACGTCTCCTGGGTGTATGGGTTGCTGAGGACGCCTCCTGGGTGTAGGGGTTGCTGGGAGAGGATACAGGATGCCCCACCGTTCACCTCCTAGCCTCACCTAGCATTCAACCAACACGCACGAGTCCATTTACCTCACAACTCGCCCTAAGAGCATTGAATATAGCTTTTATAACTTAGTTCCCCCTGGCTTATTACGTCACATTTTCTCCTCAAGTTATGTATTCACTCTGCGTCTCTTACTAACATTTCCTTTCCTCTACTTTCATATTTTTCTATTAATAAATTTTTTGTAATATTTTTTTTTGTAATATTTGTTTGTGATATTGTGTTTGAATAGTTTATTTATTTTCTTACTAATGTTTTTTTAGCATAATTGTCATATACACATCCGGTTGTGTACTAGAGACGCAGTTATGAATTCTGTCTTTGTTAGTAAATTCTTGTACCGTGTATAATACACACACGTACGTGTGACTCCCTACAACCCAGACAGACCAATGGGACAACTGCTGGCTGACAACACTATACATAATATAGAAATCAACACAGGGTACCGAAAAGAAACAAAAAAATACTCTTACGTATATTCACACCTTGGAAACATACGCAGCTGTTAAATTACACAAGATTAGCATTATATAAATACATATATACAACAAACATGAAGCTTACGAACCACACCAATTTAGCTGTACTCACTCACTCACTCACACACACACACACACACACACACACACACACACACACACACACACACACACACACACAGGCAGGGGAAGGGGGGGGGTGACAGTAGCAGCGGCCGGCCGACAAAACAAGGAGTTACACACTCACACACATCAAGAAATATAATAATAATGCAGCAAAATGCCAGACAATAAACTAGAATACACGTGTGTATAATACTACTTAAAATACGGCAGAAGGAATTACATTATAATAGAGGTACCGTAACACTTAATTCAAGGTATGATGACCTCATCGTATCCAATCTGAACTGGTTAGGCTGGGTTATAACTGATTATATCTTTAAGTGAACTGATTCTTGGTCTAGTCAATATCTTGGTCAACACGCAGGCAGAAATCTCTTTTACCCTTATTTTAATCAACGTTAGCATGGTTTCTAGTCTTAGGTTCAGTATTTAGTCCATCTGGGAGCTCCTGTTATTACTCGCATTGGATCATTTTGAATAACCTCAACGTTTGCCTACTGGCTAGGAGAGAGAGTGAGTAAGGCAGGCGCTGCATAATCAACTAGGGAACGAACGGCGTGTATGTAAAACATTCTTAACACTTTGTGTCCCGCTCCTAGACGAGGCCCTGTGATTGCTCTCATTATATTCAGTCGTGATTTTGCTTTCTCCTTCAGATATTGAATTTGCTTGCGGAACGTCCGCTAAAAGTTTGGTATTAATGTTTAGAGGACATGAGATGGGGGTTAACATGTGCAGATATGGGCTATATCTGAAGGGGTATTAGTGGCATCATATCATATATTGTTTACGATCAAACCAACAGCAGGTAATTAGTCAAGGAAGCCTAGTTTAACAGCTGTTATGGTGACGCTGTTTAATACCCATTTGCTTATGTCACACTCTGTGATTGTCAGTTCCTAGAAGGAAACCTAATCAACCAGGCTGTAAATCGTACGAAGACTGCAGACTGATCTAACAGCCTGGTACTAACAGTTACGCAAGTACTTACGAACGTGTACATCTTTCTTTTACATCTTTGACGGCTTTGGTTACATTTATTAAACAGTTTACAAGCATGAAAACTTGCCAATCAACTGTTGTTATTGTTATAAACAGCCTCCTAGTGCTTCGGAGCTCATTAACTGTGTAATAATTGTAAACAAAGCCGCCACAGATTGAGGAAAGATGTACAGGTTCGTAAGTGCTTGCGTAACTGCATCGGGAATCTGGCCCCAGGTTTGTAAGTGCTTGCGTGTAACTGCTTCGTGAATCTGGCCCCAAATCACCAACCGGGAAGCTTCCAGAGACCGGGCCGCCCGGACATTGATTCTCGGGACCACCATGGCGTAATTTGAGGTATAATTACACTGTCGTTTACCATGCAATTCATTAGTTCTTGTAAGGATTTGCAAGTCCACACTGACCACGTGACGAACGTGGTGTAATATGTCCAGATGTTGACATCACTTAACATTCAACACATTCCCGGCGCCGGCGAGAAACAATGGGCACAGTTTCTTTCACCCTGATGCCCCTGTTACCTAGCAGTAGATAGGTACCTGGGAGTTAGTCAGCAGTCACGGGCTGCTTCCTGGTGTGTGTGTGGTGTGGAAAAAAGAATAGTAGTTAGCAACAGTTGATTGACAGTTGAGTGGCAGGCCGAAAGAGCAGAGCTCAACCCCAACTAGGTGAATACAACTAGGTGAATAAATACAGCTGTAATCTGCTGTAATTGGCCCACCAGTCTAACGACAGGTGTTATCTTGTTTGTGCATATAAGTAGCAGTTTTGTAGAACCATAGCTGTCACGGGGTTGTCTCATGGTGATGTGTGGTGGCACCACCACCTGTGTACTGGGGGGTAACATAATACTCATGTATTATTCATGTATTATTCATGTATTATTCATTCGTGAGTAACAATGTTGAGACGCTGTATTGAGGTTTGAATAGTTTTTATTCAATGATGAATTGTTAATATCTCTGAAAGTTATCATTCCTTGTGTGTGTGTGTGAGGGGGGGGGTTATCTCGAGATGATTTCGGGGCTTAGCGTTCCCGCGGCCCGGTCCTCGACCAGGCCTCCTTTTTGTTACACCCCTTCCCCCCAAAGAAGCAGCCCGTAGCAGCTGTCTAACTCCCAGGTACCTATTTACTGCTAGGTGAACAGGTGCCCCAGGGTGAAAGAAACTCTGCTCATTTGTTTCCGCCTCCGTCGGGGATCGAACCCGGAACCTCAGGACTACGAATCCCGAGCGCTGTCCACTCAGCCGTCAGGCCCCCCTGGGTAATTAGATATGCAAATTACAGGTAAAGTGGAGCGTGGTGATGACCTTTGAGTAGGGTCATTACAGTGGAACAGACATGAATATTCACCAAGGTATATTGAGGCTTATTGTGATATTGCCTAGAGTCATTAGTGCGTCCACTACTGAAGAACTGTGGAAGACACTCAGGTAAGAGAGACGGAGAGAGACAAACAGGGACAGAGAGAGACAGAGAGAGACAGGTAAAGAGAAAGACAGATAAAGAGAAAGACAGGTAAAGAGAAAGAAGGGACGGTAAAAGACAGTAGCCGTCTAAAGAACAGAAGCGTCCCACAAGTGTGTATATTGGCAGACGGGTCAACCTGGCTCCCCAAAAAGAATACCATGTTCCTTCCTGTTATCGTAATACATTAATTCATACAAATTTGTAAAACTATCTTCACTTTCATGGTGTTATCAGGCAAGCACTCGGCTCGCCTTCCACTCTAATATATATATAGAAATTACACCAATTATTATAACGTATATACATCTTAAAATATATATATATATACCTAAGAATTGGAGTAATGTATTAAGAATTACTCCAATGGAGTAAAGGGGTATAACTCCTTACTCTTAATGGAGTAAGAATTGATATTATTTTTTTTATAAGAAGAACTGAACAAACTCGTCAATTTCCCGTTCCACGATGTTAACAACTAAGTTGTATATATCAGGGGAAATATAAACTAATACACTAATGGCCATTCTATCTTCAATTTAGACAGAGGGAGTCTAAAAGGTCATTCAACACGCGAATTAGTCAGAATTCTAAACTTAAACCAGCACAGGGCAACTCCCACGGCTGTCAAAAGGAAGAAATTACCTAACGTTAAAGCCTAATTTCTTACCCAAATACAAAATTAAAAATGACTAAAAATAAGATTGGCAGAACTTTATTTAATCAGTTTCCGAAGGTGAAGAACTAATGTGTAGCGAAGCGTTAATTGCAAATTAATTACACCAATTATTAGTGACCTAAGAATTTGACTTATTATACACCAATTATTAGTGACCTCAAACTTTACTTGGCTCTGACCTTTGCATAGTTAAGGGTTGAGGGTGTTTCGGAGGTCTCGTCGAGGAACGGGCCGCGGGGACGGTGAGCCCCGCATGAAGTACTTCATTCATAATGATGTACTGCCAGGAATCTTAGCGAAGTATCCGAGGTTTGCTCTCTGTAGGTGCAGCCTGCACATGACTGTAAAGCTGCCGCCCAGTTGGGTGGGTGTGGAGCACATGACTGTAAAGCTGCCGCCCAGTTGGGTGGGTGTGGAGCAAGACTAGTAACTGTTTGACTCACCATAGATGTAAAGTGCCTTGTATAGTGACTGTTGTGAGCCTCTTGTTGAATCACTTGTCATAAAAAGATTATTGATATATATATGTGTTTGTGTGAATGATTGTATGTATATATATATACGTGCATATGTAATATTAGGCATTGTGTAACCAGCTTCCCAAGATAGCCACTTGCTTAACTAAACGAACTAAGGGGTTCAGTTCGTGAATCCATTACCTGCCTCTGTAACCCGTTCACCGCAAACCGGACGGGTATGGGGTGCATAATAAAGAAATTGAATAACCTGAATGTTTATTTAAAGACCAAACAATTCAAGATCACGGTAAACTTGTACATATACACCTGCGTGTGTATATTTACACGTGTGTATACACTCCTCATGCTCACTTTGATCATGAAATATAATGAACACGAGGAGTGGCAATTATATATCGCCGCGTGTTTGTGTGAAAATATATAATTACAATATATATAAACATTTAAACCCCCCCCCCCCTGGCTGTGAACTATTGTCACTGCAATATTGCATATATAATTCACGGAACTTTCCAGAAAGCGCTTCTGTAACACCCCCCTACCCCCCCCCCCCCTCTCCTGGCTATACAGTGAAATTAAACCAAAACAAATGACGCGTGCCAAACATGTGGGGGAAAAAAGTGATATTGTATCTGTTAGGTCAACATTAATAAAGGGTGTGTTTAGTCGCGGCGCCCCACGCGACACCGGCCGCTGAACTGCTCGCTCACCGGGGGCGCTGGTGATTGGCTGGCGGGGGCGCTGGTGATTGGCTGGCGGGGGCGCTGGTGATTGGCTGGCGGGGGCGCTGGTGATTGGCTGGCGGGGGCGCTGGTGATTGGCTGGCGGGGGCGCTGGTGATTGGCTGGCGGGGGCGCTGGTGATTGGCTGGCGGGGGCGCTGGTGATTGGCTGGCGGAGGCGCTGGTGATTGGCTGGCGGGGGCGTCCTGCTTGTGGTTGGCTGGCGGGGGCGTCCTGCTTGTGATTGGTTGGCGGGGGCGTCCTGCTTGTGATTGGTTGGCGGGGGCGTCCTGCTTGTGATTGGCTGGCGGCATTAACACTGCGGGGGGCGACGACTCTGGCATTTTACCATCAATTTTGTGTGTAAATAATGAGGCGGGTCGGGTGACGCAATCCCCGCCAAGTGAACGATTGCGTAATTCCCGTGGAATTGGCTTTGGTCAGCGGTGCAGCTTTCCTGCTGCCGTGGCGGCTGTTGCTGTCCCAGCAGTACAGCAGTAATGACAAACGCTTGATGTAAGTAACAAAATGGAGGCCTGGTCGAGGACCGGGCCGCGGGGATGCTAAGCCCCGAAATCATCTCAAGATAACTTCAAGATAATTAATGTCAAATCAATAGCAGGAGGCGCTCTCTTGGGCCCTATTCTACCGTGCTAATTCCACCTACTTCTAATAGCACCATTGTAGCTCTAACTCAAGAGTTGAAACACCGTCTAAGAGAACCGAGATAACATCTGCAGATATCGCAAGATAATTGCGATATCTGCAGATATCGCAAGATAATATTTGCAGATATCGCAAGATAATTGCGATATCTGCAGATATCGCAAGATAATTGCGATATCTGCAGATATCGCAAGTCATATCGATATTGACTGCGACAAAAAGCAAGACATTTTTATTGATATTTCCTAACTGAGGACAAAATAAATCGGTGAGAAAGGCGGGGTCCAAGAGCTAATCGCTCGATTCACGAGGAGTCAAAATACCATCCAAATATACAAGGGCAACACATATATAACATATTCCAACATGAGTTTCAGAGTTTTGCGAGAGTATAATCTGTAGAAGGGGAACTATCAGGTGAAAGCTCAAGCCATCACGACTATATAGCACTGGGAAGGGATCAGGATAAGGATTTGAGATGGAACGGGAGGGAAGGAATGGTGACAAACCTCTTGTGGACGGTCGGGGATTGAACGCCGACCTGCATGAAGCGAGACCATCGCTCTACAATCCAGCCCAAGTTTTTGGACATAGAAATGTTAAAACAGATAATGGTTATTATAATCCTGTTATGCGTAATTTCCGTGATTTGTAAGTAAGTATATATATATGTGTAGCTTATATAGCTTATATATACTTACTATGTTGTTCTCTACATGTTATTAATTTAATTTTTATTACTGTCAAGTAACTGTCACCACCAGACCCGTATAACTTTTTGTTATCAAAGGCCGTAGTTGATTTCTAACTTGAAATAAGAACATAAGAACATAATGAAAGTAACTGCAGAAGGTCTATTGGCCATTCGAGGCAGCTCCTATTTTAACCACACAATATAATCCTATATATTTTATATCTATCATGTGATATTACGTCTATGTTCTATATCACCTAATACTGCATCTGTTTGATATAGATTACCTGTTATAACAGGTGTGCTCTATACATACAACACCTGGCGGTATTCTTTCCACCTGACTGTACTGCGCAAGCCAAGTACTCCTTGTACTCCCTAAACTATATCCTGTGTACTCAGTACCACAGCATACGAACCTGCGCCAAATCGTTTGCGAAGCACGCGGCGAGTGTGTTACCACTACGCCACGGACACACACACACACACACACACACACACACACACACACACACACACACACACACACACACACACACACACTCATTTACGAAGTGATGTGGTGGAGGCTGACTCCATACACAGTTTCAAGTGTAGATATGATAGCGCCGAGTAGGCTCAGAAATCTGTACACCTGTTGATTGGCAGTTGAGAAGCGGGACCAAAGAGCCAGAGCTCAACCCCCGCAAACACAGCTAGGTGAGTGCAACTAAGTGAGTACACACTCACTCTCACTCGCTCACTAACTCACTCACTCACTCACACTCTAACCATCCCTTTCCACTGGCATTACCACAGGTGTGCCAGACCGCCAGAGGGGGTGTCTATATCAGACTCACTTCGTGCCCCAAATAAACAGAGAGGCAGGGTGCCAAGGAGTGCCAACTGGTGCCTGGTGCTACCCGGCACTCCTCTCCTCCCGTCACCTGTGTGCAGCTCACCAGGAGTGTGTGTGTGGGGGGGGGGGAGACATATGATAACATTATGTACAGGTAATATGTCTGGCTGTGTGTTTGTAAGGGTTTACCTGGAGGGGTTTTAAGGGTCAGGATGTGGGAGTTCACCTACTTACTGCTAGGTGAACAGGAGCATTAGGTGAGAGGAAATGGGGCCCAGCCATTTCTGTTCCGGCCAACGCTCGAACCTGGAATTCTTGATTGTTGCGTCGAGAACGAACCCAACTGTGCCACCGGGACCCTTAATGTGTAGTGTGGCGTGGCAGAATGTGTAGTGTGGCGTGGCAGAATGTGTAGTGTGGCGTGGCAGAATGTGTAGTGCGGCGTGGCAGAATGTGTAGTGCGGCGTGGCAGAATGTGTAGTGTGGCGTGGCAGAATGTGTAGTGTGGCGTGGCAGAATGTGTAGTGTGGCGTGGCAGAATGTGTAGTGTGGCGTGGCAGAATGTGTAGTGTGGCGTGGCAGAATGTGTAGTGTGGCGTGGCAGAATGTGTAGTGTGGCGTGGCAGAATGTGTAGTGTGGCGTGGCAGAATGTGTAGTGTGGCGTGGCAGAATGTGTAGTGTGGCGTGGCAGAATGTGTAGTGTGGCGTGGAAGAATGTGTAGTGCGGCGTGGAAGAATGTGTAGTGCGGCGTGGCAGAATGTGTAGTGTGGCGTGGCAGAATGTGTAGTGTGGCGTGGCAGAATGTGTAGTGTGGCGTGGCAGAATGTGTAGTGTGGCGTGGCAGAATGTGTAGTGTGGCGTGGCAGAATGTGTAGTGTGGCGTGGCAGAATGTGTAGTGTGGCGTGGCAGAATGTGTAGTGTGGCGTGGCAGAATGTGTAGTGTGGCGTGGCAGAATGTGTAGTGTGGCGTGGCAGAATGTGTAGTGTGGCGTGGCAGAATGTGTAGTGTGGCGTGGCAGAATGTGTAGTGTGGCGTGGCAGAATGTGTAGTGTGGCGTGGCAGAATGTGTAGTGTGGCGTGGCAGAATGTGTAGTGTGGCGTGGCAGAATGTGTAGTGTGGCGTGGCAGAATGTGTAGTGTGGCGTGGTAGAATGTGTAGTGTGGCGTGGCAGAATGTGTAGTGTGGCGTGGCAGAATGTGTAGTGTGGCGTGGAAGAATGTGTAGTGTGGCGTGGCAGAATGTGTAGTGTGGCGTGGAAGAATGTGTAGTGTGGCGTGGCAGAATGTGTAGTGTGGCGTGGCAGAATGTGTAGTGTGGCGTGGAAGAATGTGTAGTGTGGCGTGGCAGAATGTGTAGTGTGGCGTGGCAGAATGTGTAGTGCGGCGTGGCAGAATGTGTAGTGTGGCGTGGCAGAATGTGTAGTGTGGCGTGGCAGAATGTGTAGTGTGGCGTGGAAGAATGTGTAGTGTGGCGTGGCAGAATGTGTAGTGTGGCGTGGCAGAATGTGTAGTGTGGCGTGGAAGAATGTGTAGTGTGGCGTGGCAGAATGTGTAGTGTGGCGTGGCAGAATGTGTAGTGTGGCGTGGAAGAATGTGTAGTGTGGCGTGGCAGAATGTGTAGTGTGGCGTGGCAGAATGTGTAGTGTGGCGTGGCAGAATGTGTAGTGTGGCGTGGCAGAATGTGTAGTGTGGCGTGGAAGAATGTGTAGTGTGGCGTGGCAGAATGTGTAGTGTGGCGTGGCAGAATGTGTAGTGTGGCGTGGCAGAATGTGTAGTGCGGCGTGGCAGAATGTGTAGTGTGGCGTGGCAGAATGTGTAGTGTGGCGTGGCAGAATGTGTAGTGTGGCGTGGAAGAATGTGTAGTGCGGCGTGGCAGAATGTGTAGTGCGGCGTGGCAGAATGTGTAGTGTGGCGTGGCAGAATGTGTAGTGTGGCGTGGAAGAATGTGTAGTGTGGCGTGGCAGAATGTGTAGTGCGGCGTGGCAGAATGTGTAGTGTGGCGTGGCAGAATGTGTAGTGTGGCGTGGCAGAATGTGTAGTGTGGCGTGGAAGAATGTGTAGTGTGGCGTGGCAGAATGTGTAGTGCGGCGTGGCAGAATGTGTAGTGTGGCGTGGCAGAATGTGTAGTGTGGCGTGGCAGAATGTGTAGTGTGGCGTGGCAGAATGTGTAGTGCGGCGTGGCAGAATGTGTAGTGTGGCGTGGCAGAATGTGTAGTGTGGCGTGGCAGAATGTGTAGTGTGGCGTGGCAGAATGTGTAGTGTGGCGTGGCAGAATGTGTAGTGCGGCGTGGCAGAATGTGTAGTGTGGCGTGGCAGAATGTGTAGTGTGGCGTTGCAGAATGTGTAGTGTGGCGTGGCAGAATGTGTAGTGTGGCGTGGCAGAATGTGTAGTGCGGCGTGGCAGAATGTGTAGTGTGGCGTGGTAGAATGTGTAGTGTGGCGTGGCAGAATGTGTAGTGTGGCGTGGCAGAATGTGTAGTGTGGCGTGGCAGAATGTGTAGTGTGGCGTGGCAGAATGTGTAGTGTGGCGTGGCAGAATGTGTAGTGTGGCGTGGCAGAAACGGGCGGCGCTGCTGCCCAAAATCTTGGAGATGGAGAGTCAGGCCAGCTGTGATACGGGAAGGAGCGGGTAAAACCTGCTGAGAGAAGGAGGGAGGTAAGGAGGGATAGAGGGAGGGAGGGATGGATGGAGGGAGGGAGGGAGGGGGAGAGGGAAGGAAGGGGAGAGAAGTAAAAGAGAGGAGACTGGAGGAACAATATTAACATGTTATTTTTTTATGAGATCCATAACAAAACCGCACTTTCCTGAGAGTTCCCCCCCCCCATGTTGGCCTCGCCCACCCTCCAGGGGGGGGTTGACTTCACCCCCCCCCATGTTGGCCTCGCCCTCCCTCCCTCGGGGGGGGGGGAGTCGACTTCACCCCCCCCCATGTTGGCCTCCCTCACCCTCCCTCGGGGGGGGGGGTCGACTTCACCCCCACCCTCCCTCGGGGCAACACTCTTCACAGCCTTATAGTATCACTAAACTTCATTTTCTAATGTGACTTTTCATTCTTTCCAGGTAAGCACCTCTCATACTATGGTCCAGGCGGTGATAGGGAAGGTAGGTACAAGAAGAAGAAGAAGGAGAAGGGGTAACCCAAGTCCTCGTAGATGGGGTAACGGTGAAGATGGCAAGGATAGTGTTGCATGTCCCCCCCCCCCCACCTCCCTTGATTGCAACATGTGGGCAACAGGGACTGTTGCAGGTTCCTGAAGGACCTGTCTCACAAGGTGTCCCCCAGGTGGTGGGGTAGACTAAGGGGAGACCAACTGAAAAAAATCCTCCCCAAAAAATGAATTTTAATGCCCAATCGTCTCTGATAATCACTGCATCAGTCACTGTATCACTGACCATTTGAAACTTAATTGTTACGTTCAAGCACTGCTCTAGTGTCACAAAGAAAATGAATGAACAAAACTCTAAATCAGAATTAATGAGGCTTACTTCAACTTGGCAAGTACTTAAAAGTCCCCAAACTAACAACTATCACTAGCTGTCACTAGTGTCAATCCTGCAAGGCGGGAGATGCCTGAATATCCACAAATCTTAAATGGTTCCTTGGAGGAATATTTTTAGAAAGGGGAGTGAGGAGGAAAGTCTTACTTAGCTATACATTACATCCTTCGCAGCTGTTGTTGTTGTTGTTTAAGATTGGCTACTTGGAACAAAAAGTTCCAAGTAGCACGGGCTATGGTGAGCCCGTAGTGGACTTACCTGGCACAGGACCGGGGCAAGTAGCACGGGCTATGGTGAGCCCGTAGTGGACTTACCTGGCACAGGAGCGGGGCAAGTAGCACTGGCTATGGTGGACTTACCTGACACAGGAGCGGGGCTGTAACTTGTCCCCTTCGCAGTGATCAAGTGACCTTATATCTTCCCCTCCTTGACATGTCGTCCCGGGGTCGCAGGAGAAGTCAAAGATGCGCCCACACTCACTGCTGATGCTGGCGTCTGTCACCGCTGCACTCACTGTTGTGGGTGTTCACTGCAGGCTTGGCGTAGTCCACACTACTCGCAGATGACTGCAGGTGCGTAAGTGCCTGCTTGTGAACTCTGGGTACTAATCAGCACATGTGGCTGGATACCAGTGGCTAGAGTTGAATCACATTTGTCCAACCACTTGGGTTGGACGGTAGAGCGACGGTCTCGTTTCATGCAGGTCGGTGTTCAATCCCCGATCGTCCACAAGTGGTTGGGCACCATTCCTTCCCTCCGTCTCATCGCAGATCCTTATCCAGATCCCTTCCCAGTGCTATATAGTCGTGATGGCTTGGCGCTTTTCCCCTGATAGTTCCCGTCCCTTCCTAGTACAATAGGCTCTCACACAGCTCTACTCTGTTTATACTCTGAGTAAATAGCTGGTTGTGTTTGCGTGCGGCGACTCTCTGCGTTGCTTACCTCAGCATGTGTCGCAGACGGTCCTTGGCTGAGACGGTCATTAGGAAACGTGGAATTCCACGAGTTAGCTGAGGGGTCGAACGACGACCTTGCACACAATGTGCTCAGGTGGATGTGTTCTGCAACCGCTACCGGCTCCTGCTTTGCGTTCACTGTCTAACTTCCTTGTGAGATAGTGCGTAACGCCTCCCTGAGGGGAGTTGAGGCTGTTCCTTCCAATGTACTGTAGTTTCCAGCGCTCAACAAGGCCTCGACGTGACGTACCACTGATGAATTCTGCGAAAATGATGAACATTCGGGTGCGTGTACTCATCCACCACGAGGCCCCGAGGCAGAGTGACACCACCTAGTCCAGTAAGAGACCACGAAAGAGATCACAAGTCACAATCGACTTGAGAATGGTCCAGGACGGACCGAAACGACGTCGTCCCTTCACTTTCTAGTGTGTGGTCTGGTCAACAGGCCACGAAACTCGCTCTCCCTGATGACATAACTCTGGGTTACCTGTTGATTTGAGTGACAAGTAACCAATCATCTCCTTCATCCTGGTTGTCAGAGGCCTCGCCTCGTCCTTCTCAACGTCAACACATCTCTCTTTGAAAGATTACACTCCATCCGCCATCTTGGGAAAATGCCTGATAGGTTACCACCTCCAAAAAACTTTTAACTTTCTGACTGGTTCAGTAACTCACTACCTTTCTTGTAACACCCGAAACGTTCTCTGGGCCGCCCAGTATGTACATGGAGGTGAGAAAATGACTCTTGAAGTCAGAAAGGCACTAAACGAGACGGAAATTGTTACAATAGACAGGTTCCAGGGGACGGGGTGGAACTACACCGGGATCCATATTTTTTATTTGAGTTTCGAGTAGTATAATACATTTTAAATCTTACGTAGAATAACATTTACACCTGGCTTCTTAACCTGAGGTGTTCCAGCAGACACCTGGATGAACCCATAAGTGACAGGAGAAAGCTTTCATGGAGACCATTAGAGATAAGGGCTCCGCAGGTAAATCCAGACATAGTTCCTGGACATAGCTGCTAGAAAAGGCGCTGCTGAACACCAGCCTCTGTGGTTATCTTGAGATGATTTCGGGGCTTAGCGTCCCCGCGGCCCGGTCCTCGACCAGGCCTCCTTTTTGTTACACACCCCCAGGAAGCAGCCCGTAACAGCTGTCTAACTCCCAGGTACCTATTTACTGCTAGGTGAAGTGGTGAGTAATGTACTGTGCTTCAGTGTGTTAACAGTGACTGATGTACTGTGCTTCAGTGTGTTAACAGTGACTGATGTATTGTGCTTCAGTGTGTTAACAGTGACTGATGTACTGTGCTTCAGTGTGTTAACAGTGACTGATGTACTGTGCTTCAGTGTGTTAACAGTGACTGATGTACTGTGCTTCAGTGTGTTAACAGTGACTGATGTACTGTGCTTCAGTGTGTTAACAGTGACTGATGTACTGTGCTTCAGTGTGTTAACAGTGACTGATGTACTGTGCTTCAGTGTGTTAACAGTGACTGATGTACTGTGCTTCAGTGTGTTAACAGTGACTGATGTACTGTGCTTCAGTGTGTTAACAGTGACTGATGTACTGTGCTTCAGTGTGTTAACAGTGACTGATGTACTGTGCTTCAGTGTGTTAACAGTGACTGATGTACTGTGCTTCAGTGTGTTAACAGTGACTGATGTACTGTGCTTCAGTGTGTTAACAGTGACTGATGTACTGTGCTTCAGTGTGTTAACAGTGACTGATGTACTGTGCTTCAGTGTGTTAACAGTGACTGATGCACTGTGCTTCAGTGTGTTAACAGTGACTGATGTACTGTGCTTCAGTGTGTCAACAGTGACTGATGTACTGTGCTTCAGTGTGTTAACAGTGACTGATGCACTGTGCTTCAGTGTGTTAACAGTGACTGATGTACTGTGCTTCAGTGTGTTAACAGTGACTGATGTACTGTGCTTCAGTGTGTTAACAGTGACTGATGTACTGTGCTTCACTGTGTTAACAGTGACTGATGTACTGTGCTTCACTGTGTTTATCTATGACTAAATCTTTTTGTTTTTTTCCGCCTAACGTTATGTCGACAGTGTTTGACAGTGCTCCCATCTTCCCTCCCCTCGCCTCAATGACGAAGGATGCGGCTCTTGCATTGCCAATTACCTCTTGTTTGCTCTCTGACTGTTTGCTAAGATATCTTGTTTACCTCCGCTTCCACCACGTTCCACTCGGCAACTGTGGCATGACAAATTTGAGAAAGATTTTCAAAGTCTTCATACCGATCAGGGGTGCCCCTGTCGCCGGCATATAGCTCCCTGTCAGGGGCGCCTGACAGCTGAGTAGACAGTGCTTCGGATTCGTAATCCTAAGGTTCCGGGTTCGATCCCCGATGGAGGCGTAGACAAATGGGCAAAATGTTTCTTTTACTCTGATGCCCCTGTTACCTAGCAGTAAATAGGTACCTGGGAGTTACACAGTTGCTACGGGCTGCTTCCTGGGGATGTGTGTGTGTGTGAGAGAGAGAGAGAGAGAGAGAGAGAGAGAGAGAGAGAGAGAGAGAGAGAGAGAGAGAGAGAGAGAGAGAGAGAGAGAGAGAGAACAAAAAGTTGCTGACAGTTTAGAGGCGGGGTCAAAGAGCCAGAGCTCGACCCAGCAAACACAACTAGGTGAATACACCCTTAGTGACGCAACCACCCAACGTTCAAGTCATTGTCGCTCATGTGTGTATTTGAAACAATACAATGTGTGTGTGTAAGTACACTAAACGCACTCGCTAGACGCACTCACTAGACGCACTCGCCAGACGCACTCACCGGGGCCAACTACCCCAGCACACAAGTGCACACAAAGGGACGCAACAGACAAGGCAGTGACGCAACACCCGCGGCCAGCAATACCAACAACAAAAGTACGTATTAGAGATAAGCTGTAACACAGACTATGGAATATGCTGCTGATTTTAATGCCCGATGCTCATATGATTAAAATAATAGTAGTGTTACTATAGGGTGAAACCTGCATACATACACAATATGCTCCTACTAACACTACTTGGTGTTAGTAGCAGCCTTTCCATTGCCTTTCCATTGGGGACTTTCGACACCTACTACAATAATAATGGGTTAGAAAGGCGGGGTCCAAGAGCTAATAACTTCATTCTGTAGGCACAAATAGCAAACAAGTAACAAATGGTAAATACAAACAGTGGCAACCAAACAGGAGGAGCATAAAATTGGAAGACAATTAGGGTTAAGGGGCCGCCCGGGAACCCACACGTTAAACACAACTCCCAAAAAAGCCATACTGTAAGAGTCAAAAGTGTAGCGTAGTTGATGTTTGCAAGTCATTATCAGGACTCTTAACCCCTCCGCTGCGGGCCCCTCACTTTTACCCTTCCTACACCACTAGCTGAGGTTTCTGGTCCCGGATGGATTACCTTCCCCGTCCTGTTCCGTCTACTGTGTGTGTCTCCCTCACCCCGTCCTGTCCCGTCTACTGTGTGTGCCTCCCTCTCTCCGTCCTGTCCCGTCTACTGTGTGTGTCTCCCTCTCTCCGTCCTGTCCCGTCTACTGTGTGTGTCTCCCTCACCCCGTCCTGTCCCGTCTACTGTGTGTGCCTCCCTCTCTCCGTCCTGTCCCGTCTACTGTGTGTGTCTCCCTCTCCCCGTCCTGTTCCGTCTACTGTGTCTCTCTCCCTCTCCCCGTCCCGTCCTCTCCCGTCCACTGTGGGAGGTATACATTATTATTATTAATCTCTAATCATTAAATTAATATACAACTTTGCCTAATAGGAATAATTCACTTGGGAAGAACTTGGGTGTTCAAATCCTTTTTCAAATTAAATTTATAATATAAATAATTTGTGCATAACTATCTGAGAGTAATCCTGCACTTTAGCGGACGGGCGGCGCCCATCATGTGGGTAGGGGGCCCCAGTGGCATGCTTGTCCACGGCCCCCCAGTGCAATGCTTGTCCAGGGCCCACAATACCCTTAAGACAGTCCTGTCAACAAGGATCATAAGTGTCTTCCCAATAGAGGCAGAAACAGCCTCAGCTCGACACAAAGAACAAGTGAGCAGAGCAACACAAGGGAGACTCAACTCTCCTTCACTGACATATTGTGAAGGTTGTCCAGGCCCCACACTCCATAACCAACTTGACTCCAATAGGTAGGTAATTGGCGGCGGGTCGAGGCTCTATAATAACAGGACCTGGAATCACCAAGCCGTTACGCAAGCACTTACGAACCTGGGGCCAGATTCACGAAGAAGTTACACAAGCACTTAAGAACCAGGGGCCAGATTCACGAAGCAGTTACGCAAGCACTTACGAACCTGGGACCAGATTCACGAAGCAGTTACGCAAGCACTTACGAACCTGGGGCCAGATTCACGAAGAAGTTACGCAAGCACTTAAGAACCTGGGGCCAGATTCACGAAGCAGTTACGCAAGCACTTACGAACCTGGGACCAGGTTCACGAAGCAGTTACGCAAGCACTTACGAACCTGGGGCCAGATTCACGAAGAAGTTACGCAAGCACTTAAGAACCTGGGGCCAGATTCACGAAGCAGTTACGCAAGCACTTACGAACCTATACATCTTTTCTCAATATTTGGCGGCTTTGTTTACTATTATTAAACAGTTAATGAGCTCCGAAGCACCAGGAGGCTGTTTATAACAATAACAACAGTTGATCGGCAAGTTTTCAACCTTGTAAACTGTTTAATAAATATATCCAAAGCCGCCAAAGATTGAGGAAAGATGTACACGTTCGTAAGTACATGCGTAACTGCTTCGTGAATCTGGCACCAGGTTCGTAAGTATTTGCGTAACTGCTTCGTGAATCTGGCCCTAGGTCTTGCGTCAGGAGCCCGCATATTGGATCATTTAGGTGTAAATTGCGTTAAGTGAATTCCCTTTTATGTTTGAAGAGGACTTAGTAGTTCTTATAATTGATGCAGCCAAGGGCTGTTAATAGACGTAATAAATTCAAACTGCCCTTAATAGTAGACAATAGATTCAGCATAAGGCTTTTAATAGA